AGTGGAAGGTTCTCGGATTGAGATGGTTTAGCAAACAAAATATATTTAGTTTTTTCAATATTTAATGATAGTTTATTTGCTATAAACCACTCATTAAGATATATTAGTTCAGCGTTTACATAATAAAAAATATTTTTTAAATTTGAGTCAGAAAAGAAAACATTAGTGTCATCAGCAAAAATAGTATAATTAAGTATTTTTGAAGACAAAAAAATATCATTGATATAAACTAAAAACAATAAAGGTCCAAGTATTGATCCTTGTGGAACTCCGCAACTTATTGATTCAAATGGGGAGCATGTTAGATCATATGGTACACCTTGTTTACGGTTTTCTAAATAACATTGAAGCCACTTTAAAATAGAGTGAACTACTCCGTAACTACGTAGTTTGTAGATAAGAATCTTGTGGTTTACAGTATCAAATGCCTTTGATAGATCTAGAAAAATTCCAAGTGTGTAACAATTGTTTTCAAAACCTTGTAAAATTTGGTTCGCAAGATCAATTACGGCATGTTCCGTAGAATGGTTTTTTCGAAAACCAAACTGTTTATGATAAAGAATATTATTTTTTTCAAGATAATTGTACAGCCTGTTGAACATAATACGCTCTAATATTTTGGAAAAACAGGAAAGTATGGAAATCGGTCTATAGTTAGATATTATTGAGTCATCGCCGCTTTTGTATATTGGAATTATTTTTGCTAATTTAAGTTGGTCGGGAAAAATGCCGTTTTTTAGGGATAGATTAAAAATTATGAAAAGGGGTTTCTCTATGATATCAGAGACAGCTTTTACAACATCAGGTTTAATTTCATCCAGACCCGCACTTTTATTTGATTTAAGCATACTAATCGCTTGCCGAAGTTCTTCAATCAAAAGCTCTGACTCATCCATGAAGAAATCAGATTTTTTCAAAAAGGATTTAAATGATTTTTTTCCCTCCGGAATTGCATCGGCTAGTTTTTTTCCTATATTTATAAAAAAGTTGTTAAATGTTTCTGCAATTTCTTTATTTACAGAAGCATCACCTAAATTGTCATCTCTTTGTAATCTTTTTGGGAAATTGTCTTTTTTTACATTACCCACGCCTGTTATTTCTTTAATTACATTCCAAGTTTTTCTTGCATTGCCAAATGTTTTATTAAGTAATGAAGAGTAGTAATTTTTTTTTGATTGCTTTTTTAATTTTTCAAAATAATTTTTATATTTTTTGTATTTTATTTCGTTTTTGTAGTTCTTTTTTTTAAGAAATTTTTGGTAAAGTTTTTGTTTCTTTTTTGACGACTTAATGAGTCCTTTCGTCATCCACGGACTAAGCAAACTTTTAGGTTTAATAATTTTTTTAAATTTTGGAAAGGCCTTTTCGTATTGCTTAGTGAACACGTGAATAAAAAATTCATAGCCGTTATTTACGTCATTGCAATCAGTCAATAGTTCCCAGTTTACTTCTTGTAAGAGGTCTCGAAACGTGGCGAGTGATTCATTATTTATTTTTCTTTCATATACAGTTTTTGTTTTTGTATGTTTCTCAGGGTTTGCAGAATATGTACTCAGAAAAACTGGAAAATGGTCAGTTATATCTGTTTTAATAATACCACTTTGCCATTCCACGCTTGTGTAATTGTTAGTAATAATATTATCGATAATGGATGCAGTTGTTTTAGTCACGCGTGTTGGCTTGTTAATCATAGGGAAAAGGTTGTACTGCAAAAGTGTATTTGTAAAACGCACGACGTGGTTATCTGTTTTATAATTCAAAAAATTCAAATTAAAATCACCTAATAAATACACATGTTTTTTTATGAGCTTTGGTAGCAAGTAGTTTAAGTGGTTTTCAAATTGATTGTAATTACCATTAGGTGGTCTATATAATGCTGTTATAAATGCATTTTTATTTGTTTTATTAATTATTTCAATTGTAAATGACTCACAATCAACGTCATTTACTTTGAGGTTTTCTATGTACTTAAAAGTCAATGAGTTTTGGACAAAAATTGATACGCCCCCACCAATGCCGTTTACTCTAGGTTGATGAATGGATTTATATCCTGATAATTGAAAGTTAGAATTAATCGTGTCTCGATGACACCAAGTTTCAGTCAGACAGATAATACTAAACTTGTTACTTATATTATTTAACATAAATTTTAAATTATCAAAGTTTTTATTTATGCTTCTGATGTTTAAATGTAATAATGAAAAATGGGATGATGAAGAATTAAGAACATGATTAACATCGTCAACATTGTAATAAGCCGTTTCTACTAAAATTTCGTCAAAAATGTTAATATTTTTATCATCATCATTACTTCGGTTTAGTGTGTTTTTCCTTCCTGATATGTCAAAAACATTATTATTGCTGGCTTCCGCCATTTTAGCAATAATAAATAAAAATACTATTTAAATTACAAAAAATATATACAAAAAATAAATAAACTTTAAGCATTTTTATGAGATTTTTTAAAATCTTTAACTACTAATTTATCATAAATAACTACAGAATATTTACCGTTATTCCTGTGAGCTCGCATTTCTTCAAAGAGTTTTTTACGTATGGTTAGGGTATCCAAAGAGTAGTCTTCATTTATAAATATTCCTGTTCCTTTTAACTTTTTTGAATTCTTTAATATGTTAATTTTATCTTTATAGTTCAGGAGTTTTATCACGACTGATCTAGGTTTACTCTGCCCGATTTTTCCGGTTCTATGCGCCCTTTCGATAGCTACGCCACTTACATTTAGTTGTTTTTCAAAGATACTTAAAACTTTTTCTTCAGATTCATTCCAACTTTCAGATTCGCTTTCAGTTATTCCTTCAAGCCGCAGATTGTTTCTTCTTAGTCGATCTTCCAGTTGACGCAGCTTATTTTTTTCTTCTGCATTAAATGCTACTTTTGAGACAATTTTTTCTTCAATTTTATTGATTTTTTCCTCTTGGGTATCTTGCGTAAAAGTTATGCTGTTTTCAATATCTTTTTGAGTGTGTTCAATTTTTGAGACTCTGTCATTTGTTTTTACCATTTCAAATTTTCTGAGATTATTTTCATTTTGTAAAGTTTTGCACGTTTCTTTGATTTCTGTTAATTCTTTCAACAGCCCATCAATTCTTTCATTTGTAATTTTTAAATTACCACTAATAAGTTTGAGAATGTCCTTTTGCTGTTTCTTAAACATCTCAGAGAATATTTCACGAACTAATTTCACAGATATTTCAGAAGCTTCTGTATTTGTTTGAATTTCTTTTTTATCATTTTTATTTTTATCCATTTTATTATCAAGTTAAATACCAATATTTGTTTTTATTTAATAATGAATAAACATATAAATTTATGTATATATGTTTTAAACAATTTGTAACAGTCTATTTTTTAAAAAGTTCAAAACAGCCACGCTGCAAAAACACGTCCGTTCACTTCCGTGTCTTGAAACGATGAAACGATATATATATATATATATATATATATATATATATATATATATATATATATATATATATATATATATATATATATATATTTAATTCAAAAGTTTATTTTTATTTATTTTTTAGGACGTGTAACAAGTTTGTTATATACGACTCTAGCAAATTTACCGGCGTTTCGTAGATCTTTGGCTTCCGCAAAAAGTGTTTTTCTTTTTTCAATGGTTCGATCGCTAAAATCGTCGTTTAGATACAATTTTTCGTTCCATAGCTTGAGTCTTCTATACTGCTCCAGTACTTTTTTCTTGTCTTTGTAGTTTAAAAACTTTGCAATTATTGTCCGTTTTTTTTTCTTGCCAGGTTCTTCGTTCCTTTTTCCAGTTCTGTGTGCTCTTTCAATATGTACTTCTTCGTTAATATTAAGTTTTTCCTTTATGAAGCTTTTTATTTTTATTTCACTTTCCTCCCAGGTTTCGTTATCTTTTTCTTCTAGTCCCTCAAAACGTAGATTATTACGCCTACTTCTATCCTCCAATTCAGCTATTTTATCTTTAAGTTCTTCTCCAAGATTCATTTTTTTGCTGTTTTTCACCAAGATTCATTTTTTTACTGTTTTTGCTGTGTTACGATATTATATTAAAAATTTCTATTTCTACAGTTTTATTAAATAAATTGCAACTAGCAAAATGCTTCGAGTTAGACAGAACTTTAAATGTAGGAATGCTATCTTATCCAAAGTTTTTTTTAGTAATTAGTCGTGTGTGTAGATAATTTACCATTAACAGAGAGATTTATGTATTTTGTCACACCCTGATATCGCATGCAATAAAATTCGTTATCATCAGCTAACTATTTGGCATCAAACTTGCTTGAATGTTAAAAAAAATCTAATTGTAAAGTTATCAAATAGCATAATCAAAGTTGATAAAAACAATTGGTAGATATTAAATAACAATTAATAGAAATTTATAAAAACAATTGCAGGTATTAAAGGTATTAAAATGGCACATTTAACTTAAGTGGTATGAGAGAATGTAAATTTTTCTATTAAGTTGTGCAATAGCAATATTCACAATATTTTCACTCAAAAAAACTGAAAGATTAACAACATTTTCACGAAAATAGATGCGAGCAATTAGATTTATTTTCAGCATTGAAACTATCATAGGATGATAACAATCTTTTTGGGATAAAGTTAACCTGTTATTAACAATAGAAGCCCCAGGTTTTTTATATACCTAGAAACTCCAAAGTGGATCAATTGATCCAACCTAATATTTATATGCATTTAGACTTTTTTTTTGTTTAAATGCATGAAACTAACAGTTAAAACTTTTAATTTTGATGTAAAGTATATAAAATATATAAATTTCTTTTACCCTACATATATATACATAAATTTTATGCCCAAAATACGGCGCGTTTTACTCTAAGCAAAGGTTTAATAGCATGATTTGCCTAAATCTGGATTACTCTAGCTTATTTATACAGATTACTTAAATTAAAATAAAAAAAAGAAATAAAATAAAAGTATTAGCGAATAAAATAAAGTATTGTTTCCACATCTTTGTTATAAATATGCTGCCACCACAAGTACACTAATATTGCTGCTTTACACTATGAAACTTATAATCTATTGGCCTGTAGCAATTATATATTAAGTATCATAAAAGTTATTAATACTATAATGAAACGCATAGAGTTCAGCAAACGCTGATGGTGCTTCATCATCAAAAACTTCTGTTGCAGTACATTCTCATTCAATTGACCAATCAGTTATATACCAACGTCCAAAACGTGTGTCGGCGCAACAGTGTTTATTCATATTACAAGAACTCTCAGAAATGGACAGTGGTGATGAATCAGATTCAGCAAACGAAAATGAAAAGACAGATGTTGTTGAAGATAATCTTTCTGATGACGATGAAAGTAATACTTATATTTACACATCGGAAAGTAGTAGCGATGATGATGTAGAAGAAAATTCATGCGGTGGAAATAATGGTGTAACTGTTAAAACTTGTAGAGATGATGTAAAATGGACTATTGCGTCAACAGTTGAGGTAACAGGAAGATTCCAAACTCAGAATGTGTTTACTGCCAAAAGCAGAACAACTTCTTATTGTCGTAATGTTTTGACACCTATTGACGCATTTAGACTAATTATGGATGAAGGCTTTACACGCTTTATCAAAAAATGTTTTATCTGCCAATTTATCAAATGAAGGATGGAATATAAGTGACATTGAACTTGATGCTTTCATAGGCCTAATATATCTTCGTGGATGTATGAACGCAAGAAATTTTCCAGTTAAATTCCTATGGTCTGAAAAATATGGCAACAAAGCTTTTGCAGAAACTATGCCGCGTTCTCGGTTTGAAGACATTATGAAAAATATTAGATTTGATATACGTTCAGAACGTAGAGAGCTCCTCCAAAGTGATAAATTTGCTCTAATGTCATGGGTGCTGACAAGATTTGTAGAAAATAGTCAAAAATGCTATATACCTGAGGAATCTTTAACAATTGATGAGCAGTTGTTCCCAACTAAAGCTCGGTGTCGCTTTACTCAGTATATGCCTAATATACCGGACAAGTTTGAAATCAAATTCTGGATTTTAGCTGATTTAAAAACTAAATATTGTCTTAGTATCAAACCGTATCTTGGTAAAGATGAAAACCGTGTAGAAAATTTGGGTACTCATGTGGTCATGTCACTAATAAAACCATATTTAGGCCGCGGGTATAATGTTACTACAGATAACTTTTTTACAAGTGTCGATCTTGCAACAAAACCTTTGCAAAAGAAAACGTCAATAGTTGGAACAGTTAAACATAGTAGAAAAGAAATTCCAGCATTTGATCCACTTCCACTTTACGATTCAACTTTCTACATAAATGGACCATTGAACTTGATTGTCTACCAGGCAAAGAAGAAGAAAACTGTAATTTTATTATTAACACTACATAGAGGGGTAACTAAGCAAAGCGATGGGAAGAAAAAACCAGAGGCAGTACTTTATTACAATGCGAATAAATGTGGAGTTGATATGTTAGATTCAATGTGTCGACAAATGTCAACAAAATCTGGGTGCAGACGCTGGCCGTTAGCTGTTTTCTTCAATATTTTGGACTTGACCGATGTAAACGCGCGGATCATTTTTAAAAAAGTTACACAACAAAAAATTTCGAGACGAATGTTCCTTTACACTTTATCTGAGCAGTTAAGAGAAGCAAATATAAATCACCGCAAATCCCAAGTTGCTGCCAACAGTAATACCACAATAGCTACCAACAGTAATACACAATTACCCACACGATTGAGATGTCAGATAAAAACAGACTGCAAACGTAATCTGACGTCAACAGTATGTGCAAGTTGTAACAAACCTGTTTGTGGAAAGTGCATGTCATATATAAGCAAACATTGGAAATAACATTAGTTATTTTACTAAAATAGTTTTGTATATGCATGTTTTCTATAATGTGGATCAATTGATCCAGCTTAGGGTTTTTAGGTATAAATATTTATAGCCGCATCTCTGAATGTGTTTTTTATTTAGTTTTTCCACTTTTCAGTAAATAATATTAAAATAATAAAAGTCATAAAATATTTTTTTATCAACATTAAAATTTTAGCTTCAGCAAAGTGTCAAAGCCGTGTTTGGATCAATTGATCCACCTTGGGGCTTCTAGTGTTAAGTGGAAAAAAAGAAGTTATAGGCATTTGTATGGATATTATGCTCATTTTAATCATTAGCTCGATTTCCGGCAGATTTCAATTTTTTCTTTAACGCTATATGTCTAAAGTACTAGCATGCAAATGCTAGTGTCTCATATCAAGCAACTTGATAGTCTGTACACTTTAGTTCAATTTTTTTACAGTGTATATATTTAATATTATTTGTTTAAAAACTAAGACTTTGTAAAAAAGTTTCCATTTGTGTTTTAAACCAAATAAAATTTATGTTTTATTTTTCAATATAGTGTTACAAGTAATGTAACACAACTATATAATTATATTATGTAATATAATCTGTATTATAAAATATAATTCATTGTATTATGTAATAAATTATATATTACAAAGTAAAATTATGTTATATAATAAAGAAAATTACAAAATATAGTTTTAGTATAATTAACACCGTTTCCGTTATACTTAAAAGACCTGTATGTAAAAACTAATTAAAAAAATAATTATTCTATTGTAAATGCTGTTTAAATTTAAGTATTTTATTTTGAAAGCTTTGAGTTCTATTTGTTTTCCAATAGAATAATTTTTATGAAGAACACCGAACTTGGCCTGAGCTTGCCTCTGTATATATATATATATATATATATAATATATATATATATATATATATATATAATATATATATATATATATATATATATATATATATATATTCTAAATATATAAATATAAATATATATATATATATATATATATATATATATATATATATATATATATATATATATTATATATATATATATATATATATATATATATATATATATATATATATATATATATATATATATATATATATATATATACAGAGGCGATAATAGAAGGTGGTTTTCAAGTTTTTTATATTTTACACACTTATATATATATATATATATACATATATATATATATATATATATATATATATATATATATATATATATATATATATATATATATATATATATATATATATATATATATATATATATATATATATATATATATATTTATATTTATATATTTAGAATATATATATATATATATATATATATATATATATATATATATATATATATATATATATATATATATATTGATTGGTGATTTTCAAGTTGTTTACTGATTTAGTTATCTAGTCGGGTAATTGTCACAGCTCAGTTGGTATATATATATATATATATATATATATATATATATATATATATATATATATATATATATATATATATATATATATATATATATATATATATATATATATATATATTTATATATATATAATTATATATATATATATATATTTTTTTTCAGTTTTCATTTTTTACATGTCGTGATTTCCAGTAATATAAACATATAAACTTGGAATCTGAAAGAAGATCATATCGATCTTGTTGCTAGAACAATATAAAAACTACAAATTAAATAAAATATAATATAATACAGGTAGTTTATAACAAAATAAGAATTTAAAACATTTAAAATAAGAAATGGTTAAAATAATACCTTAAAAATTATTCAATATATTATCCGTAGAACAAGTAATATTCTTTACCTTGCTTTTAAAAACAGAAAAAGAGATAGATAAATCAAAATTAGGCTGTACAATTTTATTCCAGATTTAAGGTGCTCGATAATCTATACAAAATTGATTAAACTTTGTTCAACAAAAGGGTTCTTTTAAATAGTTATTATTTTGCAAACTATATTTAATCTTTACTTTAAAGTTAAAAACATGAAATAAGGGGTTATTCATTCAACAAAACGTAAAATATAAAATATTGTACAAGTTAAGTTAAATTTATATCTTTAAATAGAGGTTTTGTATTTGAAAAACGATTTAAAAAATATATATTATTCGCAATGCATGTTTCTGATGGCGGTAAAGGAGTTGCAACTTACTTTTACCTGTACTTCCCCAGGCAATATTTGCATAGTATATATACTTATATGTATGTATATATATAAATATATATATATATATATATATATATATATATATATATATATATATATATATATATATATATATATATATATATATATATATATATATGTATATTTTTATATATATATATATATATATATATATATATATATATATATATATATATATATATATACATATATATATATATATATATATATATATATATATATATATATATATATATATATATATATATATATATATATATATATATATATATATATATATACGACCACTTCAACTGAATCTATGCTATATTAACTATAGAAGGTTGGCGTTGTTAACAAATATTATTAAAATAATTAGGATCAAGTGGTTAAATAGATTTTGAAATCATTTGAGATAATTATGGTAATAGGCAAATAAAATTTAATTTGTATCCAATATCAGGTAAAACGGATATTCATGTTATGAAATCAAATGTATTTAAAAAAGATATATGAGAAATTTATTAATAAAAGTTTTTTCTCTGATAGAGTAAATAACTGTTTGATATACTTGATAAAGTAAGATTTAAAAAAAAGGTGGACAAATTAATTCTACTTTTGATTGCAAGTTATGTTTGTTTAATTGTAAAAGGTAATGGTTTCTTTTTGTTTGTATAATGTTCAACAGTTACTATATTTTAAAAAGCACAATTATATTACTGTAGTAGTACAAACACTAAGGAAAACCTATCTTGTGGGCACGGTACGTTTTTTAAAAGACGTTGGGTGTATTTTTATTTTTTAAACGAGCTAATCGATTAACGGGTGGTTACTAAAAATCCGGACAAACTTTCAAGTGCAATTACTCCCAAAGTTTTTATCGTAGAGATTAATTAAAACTATCATTAAAAAGAGTTTTTAGTTATTTATTTATTTTAATTAAGTTTGTCTTCAACCAGTCTGTTTCTTCGGATTCGGCCAACTCTAACACGAGTTGACCCAAAAAGTGAAAATACAAGGTTAAGGTCAATTTTTTTCAGGCAAAGCTTTATTCTGGTTCGTAGTTGTTTCACGTCTTTTGCTTGCCAGTTACTCTCATACACTTTGCCTTTCAAAATAGCCTAAAAGTCTTCGATTGGGCGACACTCCGGTACGGCTGGCGCATTGTCAACTTTTTTGATAAAATTGATGTTATGAGTCTCGTAGCAGCTGGTCACGGTTTTGGCATAATGCGATGAAGCCAATTCTGGCCAAAATATGTAATTACCATCGGCATGATAAGCGTTGATGAACGGCACTAATCTTTTCATAATACAATTCATTTCATAGATGGCTTTATTGACTGCAAGGCCGCTGGGTATAAAAAATGGTTTTGAAACACCTTTGTCAGAAGCGGCCAGCCAGACAAGCACCTTGGGTTCGAACTTGCGCTTTTTGCGATATTTAACACTTGGTGGAGTCTTGTCTCTGTTGCTAGAGTAGTAGGTGCTGTTTCCATTAATTGTTGAGTGTGACAGCGTGAAGTAAGACTCATCGTCAAGGATGACCGATTTTCCTTTAAAAACGCGATAAAGACGATCAATGCCAGTTTTGATTCGCTCATTCTGGTTCTCTTGTCGATGAGGTATACCCTGTTTTGTATAACTTTTAATGTCAGTGTACTTGGCAAGAGTTTTAATGATATGTGAATGACTGCATCCAAATTTTCGACCAGCTTGTCTCATCGAAACTTGGTCACTGTGATCAAATATGGCTTTCAGGCGCTTGATCCTCTTAGGGGTCATGATTTTGGCCACACGACCACTTCCTTGCACTCTTTTGTGCCCAGAATCATTCTCAACACGTTTGATTATATCATAGATAGTGCTTCTTGGGATTTTTTCAGCATTGAAGTGAGCTACTGTGAACTTTTTACCTTGCAATTTATTATTCAAATAGAACTCGTAAATCCGTTTTCTTACCTCTTCTTGCTTGGTCATCATTATTTTTTAAATTATTATTAATTATCTAAAAAAAAAAAATCAACTTATAGAGAATTAAATAAGCTATAAAATGGATATAAACATGAATAAAAAAAATTTAGTTTGTGGCATTTGAAATTCAGTTAAAGTTTGTCCGGATTTTTAGTAACCACCCGTTATTACAAGCTAGGTTAATTAATATGTTAATTTTAAAGTTTAAGGGCATGAATTAATTGAGGTTGTACTATTTTACAGTAGTTCAATATTTCTTTGTATTGAAGATATAGTTAAATGACTCTGAGTTTTATACCAAACAGTTCTCAAATATGATACTTAATTTGAAAAAAAAACTAAAGAAAAAAAAAAGAAAAGAAAAAAAAAAAAATATATAGTTAAAATAAGTTCACAAATTTTTATTCGCAATATCAAATTAATTTAAAGATTTTGGTTACTGAATCATTAGATTAACATTGTATAAAAAAATAACATTATTTTGAATTCTTTTTTCGAATTTCAGCAGCAAATATTGGAGAAATTTACTCATTTGAATCAAACAACTACCCACAATATCGAATTGGAGTGAGAAATGATGCAACTGTTGGCATTGCTTTATTCAGCGCTGAGGAATATCGCATCGTTAGAGGTACAAGTATAAATTAGAATTGAAATGCAAACTTTAATGGCATGGTAAAAAGTTTATTTAAATTTAATTAAGCATATATATATATATATATATATATATATATATATATATATATATATATATATATATATATATATATATATATATATATATATATATATATATATATATATATATATA